CCCATTTACCCTTCCCAGAAATATCCTTCAATAAATCTTTTGCACAGCTAATCTGGTCTTGGTATCTGCTACTCAGAGGACCAACTTCCAACCTGGGTAGGAGAGTCAGGAAAATATTTCAAAGGGTCCATAAATTCCATGTTCAATAAGTAATGTCTCTAGACTCCATGAATTCTAGGTCTCACATTTATATGAACTATGACTCTCCAAATAAATATGGGTGATAAATATAATGTAGAGTCATATAAGAGCATTATTGAATTTACAGTTACTTTTGTTACTATGCATGTTTTCAACTGTGAATTTTTTTTCCTATTTTCTTATTATGTTATGTTAATCACCATACATTACATCATTAGTTTTTAATGTAGTGTTCCATGATTCATTGTTTGCATATAACACCCAGTGCTCCATGCAGAACGTGCCCTCTTTAATACCCATCACCAGGCTAACCCATCCTCCCACCCCCTCCCCTCTAGAACCCTCAGTTTGTTTTTCAGGGTCCATAGTCTCTCATGGTTCATCTCCCCCTCCAATTTCCCCCCTTCATTCTTCCCCTCCTGCTATCTTCTTCTTTTTTTTTTTTTAACATATAATGTATTATTTGCTTCAGAGGTACAGATCTGTGATTCAACAGTCTTGCACACTTCACAGTGCTCACCATAGCACATACCCTCCCCAACGTCTATCACCCAGCCATCCCATCCCTCCCACCCCCCACCACTCCAGCAACCCTCAGTTTGTTTCCTGAGATTAAGAATTCCTCATATCAGTGAGGTCGTATGATACATGTCTTTCTCTGATTGACTTATTTCGCTCAATGTAATATACTCTCCAATTCCATCCACATCATTGCAAATGAAAAGATTTCATTCCTTTTATGGCTGCATAATATTCCATTGTATATATATACCACATCTTCTTTATCCATTCATCTGTTGATGGACATCTTGGCTCTTTACATAGTTTGGCTATTGTGGACATTGCTGCCATAAACATCGGGGTGCACGTACCCCTTTGGATCCCTACATTTGTATCTTTGGGGTAAATACTCAGTAGTGTGATTGCTGGATCGTATGGTAGTTCTATTTTCAACTTTTTGAAGAACCTCCATACTGTTTTCCAGAGTGGCTGCACCAGCTTGCACTCCCACCAACAGTGTAGGAGGGTTCCCCTTTCTCCACATCCCCACCAACATCTGTCGTTTCCTGACTTGTTAATTTTAGCCATTCTGACTGGTGTGAGATGATATCTCATTGAGGTTTTGATTTACATTTCCCTGATGCCGAGTGGTGGTGAGCACTTTTTCATGTGTCTGTTGGCCGTTTTCAACCATGAATTTTAAAAGAAAGATAACAAGGGTCTTCATGCTTGAAAATTTTGGGAGCCACTGGGCTGGATGCTCACTCAGGGCCTCTCAGGTCTGGCGTGCTTTGATTCCCTGGCAGGGGGAGATGTACAGCACAGTGGTTGCAGAGCAGAGCTGAGAGCATGGGCTTTGGCACCAGACAGACCTGGGTTTAAATCCTTACTCTGTTTCTTGCTAGCTGTGTAAGCTCAAGCAAATTGCATAACTTCTCCAAGTCTTTATTTCCTCATCTATAAAATAAAATCTTAAGAGTGACTTCTGCACGGTATGGTTGTGAGGGTTAAATGAGAAAAAAATGGGTGTAGGGTACTTTGCCTGGCACAGAGTAAGTGCTTTGTAAAAGTCACTGGAGTTATTACCATTACTCATTCTTAGTTTCATTTTGTTTATTCATCTTTGCTTCTAACCAAAAGATTGCTTATAGTGTATCTCATAGTCTTTAACTCTTACTTCATGAGAACAGAAGATAGCATTTCTTATCTTCCTAAATTACATGGTTCATCCTTCCAAAGAAATTGCATCTCATGTTGAATACACCCGCACTCCTTTGAGCTTAGACCTTTGTAACCAACTGAGCTTTCATTTAATCAACTGGAATAATCTGGACCTTAGTGTTTTCTCCCATGTGATTTCCTTTCACAGCCAATTTGTCTTTAATGCTCAGACTGGGCTGCAATAATAACACAGAGTATTGAGAAAATCTATTATTCACACAATCCCATCTCAAATAGATGACAATTTCAGGCAGATGTAAGGGTTTTAGGTTTGGGAGCAGGGCAGCTTTTTGAATAATAAAAATAATTGCTTATCTGAGTGCTGATTTTACAGTTGACAGCAAAAAGTCATCTGGGGTGGCTCATTAGTGAAACAGGTGCATGGGCAGCTGTTCTAATTAATGTTTTAGGAATCCCCATACTTGATTTCTAGTAAGGATTAGAGAAAAGCTTTGCTATCTACCTGATTACAAGACTGGGCTGAAGACGTATAACCACTAGGAATGTTGTTAGCGGTAGGTAATAAAATACATGACTTCAGTGGCCTAAACAAACAAGAGTTTATTTTTCCCATAAAAAAGTCGAGAAGCAGATAGTTGCTTCTGTTGGTTTATCAACTCAACAATGTTTTTGCATATCTCCCTGAGATTCTTTTGACCTTTCCTTCATTGTCTCAAAATGGTTATAGGAATTCCGATCATCATGCTCAGAGTCAAGGCAAGAAGGAGGAAAGAGTGGGGAATGAGCAAGTCCATCAGATCTCCAGTAGACCATCAGTATGAGCAAACCCCATGCTTACATCTCATTGGCCAGGACTGTCCATGCAGCCACGGCCTACCTGCAGTGGGAAATGAAGTTTGTAGTGGAGCTTACTATCTTGTACACAATCAGGATGCTATTACTAAGGGAAAGTGAAGCAAGTATGTTGGGAGGGTTACCAATTCAAGGTGCTCTCAGAGGGAAGCCCAAGAATATTATTGGTATTTATGTCTTGGATCCACCTTGTTTTCTTTGTGGGAAGAATGAGAAATCTAAGAAATGCTGTAGTGAATATACTAGAGATCAAAACACATCACAACAAACTTCAAAGAGGTGTCTGCCGCATTCTATTTAAGCTTCCACTATACTGAGAAATACTTGTGGTAAAACTTAGTAATATTATTTTTAGTAATGAAGAAATGTTTGCAGTAACAATGTCATGACAATAGGATTTACTGCAATCACAGAATATAACAGATTCCTATGAAATTGTCTTGGTTTCTCTGAAACAATGACATATATTTAGGGGACAGTACATCCTGGAATCTGTTTGAGAGGCAGTTGTAATTCACTGGAATTAGTTGTCCCCAAATTCATAATTTAATTTTAAGCAATAAAAAAGATTCAAACTACATCAGGAGGTTAAGCAGAATATAAATAGATCTTAGAGTCCTGAGGTGTGCAATATAAAATAGGCCATGCCTCAGGAGTTTCTTGTGAAGATGCCTGCAACATGAACTTTTGGACCCTGACTCTGCAAAAATTACGCATCTTCAGAACTTGGTAAAAGTGTGAAAGATGGGCAAGTATCTATCAGCTCTTTCTCATTTGTATGGTACTTAGCTACCTTTGTCAGAAATAATAATGGATATATATAGTTTTCATTTGTATTTTAAATATTGCTTAAAATTAATTATATATTTGTCATGGGTAAAATCAATGTAACTACTTGACTTGTAGCATTTATTTACATTACCTATATAATCCTCTTTCCTGATATCTTTATTAAAACATCTTTAAATTGTTTAGGCATCAGATTTCCCTTTAAAAAATTAATGATATTTTCAAATTATGTTCTTTTTTTAAAAGATTATTTATTTATTTATTTATTTGTCAGAGAGAGAGAGAGATAGCAAGAGAGAGCACAAGCAGGAGGAGCGTCACACAGAGGGAGAAGTAGGCTCCCTGCTGAGCAAGGAGCCTGATGTGGGACTCGATCCCGGGACCCCAATCATGACCAGAGCTGAAGGCAGACGCTTAACCGACTGAGCCACCCAGGAGTCCCTCAAATTATGTTCTTTTATGGAAATTTGAAAATTACAGAAAAGTAAAAAAGAAAACCTCGTATTACTTAAGACATTTATATGTGTTTATTTGATTCAACCCTGATGACCACTTGATTCAGTGTCCAAGATATCCAAGATATACACAGATACACAATGATGTTATGTGCCTGGAATGTACCAATACCTACTTAAATCTGGACAAATAAAATCATGTTCTAACCATGTACCAATTGATACACTTGGTGAGAGCAGTCAATTTACAGGCCAATTTGAAAATGGGTTGAAGAGGGCAGTCAAGAAGAGGCAGCTAGAAGAGGCATTTTATCATTTATCATACTATGAGTAGACCTGGTAACTCATTAATTTAAAAATATATGTAAATACATATAACCAGAGAAGTTAGGTGACATAACAGGACACAGAGACAAAGAATCAGAACTAGAACCTGGACTTTCTTATCCTTACACTAATGCATTCTCCCATTAAATATGGATGTTCAGATCATGCAAGTGAACTGCAAACTTATTCAGCTAAAAAGTCCTCTTCTTATATTTTCATATTTTGTATGTGCTTGAGGTTATGTTGAGGAGATAGAGCTATTTTAAAATAATGCCCTTATTTCTTGCTTTGTTTTCTTCCCTTCTCCCTCCCTCCCTCCTTCCCTTCCATCCTTCCTGCCAGGTGAGGGACCAGGAGATTTTGTGCATGGACTTGGGAATCAGACAGACCTGGATTTGAGTCTTGGGTCTGCTGCTCGCTAGATATGGGACTTCATGCAGTTTGTTTAAACTTTCTATGCCTCAGTTTCTTCACCTACAAAATTTATGTACATGTACTTGTCTTACAGTATTATTTGTGTAATGTTCCAATTAAGCTTGATTCTACTGCAGTAACAACTCAAGTTTATTTCTTGCTCAAGCAAAGTCTGCTGTGGGTCTGGGTGACTCCAGGCTCAGCATTCCACATTGCCTCATTTTTATGGCACTTGAATATTAACAGATTCTTGTATGATCACCATAGCAATGAAATACTTCAGCCTAGAAAGTGACATGTATCATTTCTGCTCACACTTCTTTTTTAACTAATAAACAGTTTCATGGAAATTCCTGACTTTAACAAGCTAAAGAAATGCAGTGCTCCTCCTGTGCATGTAGAATGGTAGAACTGGAAATGTTGGTAAGCGCCACTTATATCTACCCCAATCTGCTTTCCTCATCAAGTTTTCAGTGTACTCTTCTTTGCACATAGAATCCATTCACCCTTTCCCAAGGTGACAACTCAGTAGTTCTATCTCTCTGAATCCAGGATGAAGCATACTTCAGATCCAAATTTTGTTTCTCTTAATCCAGAGCCCTATGATTTAAAGTTCATGAAGTGCCTAGTGCCTGGCACAGGGCAAATTCATTGACTAGCAGTCAGGGATAGCAGGTTGACAACAGCAGCAATAACAATATCTTTCCAATCCTGTTATGACATAGCAACATCTTCTTCATCAGGATATTTTTATAGCTCAAGACACCTGTTGTGTCAGCAGCTAAGCATCAAGTCCCCCTTCGTAGGGAATTCACCTCTTCTCATCTTAGTCCATATGATTTAGATGAGAGTGCTCCTGCCCTCCTACCACTAGGGGTGGGCATATGACCAAGGCCTAAAGAATCAATTTATTCTTGTCTTCCTGGGCACTGAGATAGGTTTATTGAGATAGGTGCTCCACTCAACTTGGTCCAGGGAGACTCAATCCTAAAACTTCCACTGGAAAGTGGGGAAAAACCCACTTTTTCTCTTAGGATGTTGAGAGGTTAAGATGAAAGTCTGTACCTGCTAAAGGTCATCTTGTGACCAAAGTGAGAGCCTTCTAGAAATGAAATAAAAAAAGAAGGAATGCCAAGGAATAGTGAGAACGAGTTCTGCTGATAGTATTTAAACCCCTGGATTTAGCTACTACTGGTTCTCTGGTGTTTTCAATAACTTGAACCAGTAATTTCTCCTTTTGGTTAACTTGGATTGATACGGGTTGTGTTGCTTATAGTGGTAGATTGCAAAAATGGCCACAAATTCTTCTCCTTCTTGTATTCATACCCACATACTTTGAGGGCTTTCCATGGACTCTGGCCTAGTTAGGTGATTTGCTTTGGACAAAAGATGCCCACAAAAAGGAGACAGAAGAGATCTGAAAACCATGTGTGCATCAGAGTTTTTCCTCTCTTGATGGTTTTTAGACCCTTCATCACAGCTGCTATGTGAATAAGTACAGATCATCTCCTTGAGGAATAATGAGAGATCATGAAACAGAGAAGAATTGCCTTAGCTGAGCCATCTTAGATCAATCAGCCCAACCAATCTACTAACTAACCACCTACACATGAAAAAGCCCAGTAGAGCTTTGTTCCTACCTGAACAAACTTTGTTCATACCTGAAAAATTTCCCAGAGGATCATGAGCCAAATAAATGATTGCTTATTTTAAATTATTAAAATTTGGGGTGGTTTGTTAGGCAGCAAAAGCTGACTGATACATTTGCCAACAAAAGGGTGCTACTTGCTGTAACCATGTTATGATGGTTCTTTTATATCTTGTCTTGCCCTTTTAATTTTTTAAAGATTTTTATTTATTTATTTGAGAGAGAGAGAGAGAATGAGCAGGGGGGAGGAGAGAGGGAGAAGCAGACTCCCTACTGAGCAAGGAGTCTGATGTGGGGCTCGATTCTAAGACCCTGAGATCATGACCCGAGCCGAAGGTAGATGCTTAACCAATTGAACCACCCAGGTGCCCCTTGTCTTGCCCTTTTAAAGCATACCAATTCTATAATAGTTTAATGAGCATATAAGTAAATGCTCAATAACTATTCCCTAAATAAATGCTTGAAATGAATAGGGGAACTTAAGAGTCAATGTCTTGCCCACAGAATTGATCCCAATGCTGACTGTTTTAGGAAGGAAAGAACTGTGGAGAAGCTGAGTATATTTTCATGCATTTATTGACTATTTGTAATCTTCTTTTGGGAAGTGTCTGTTCAAATAGTTTTCTCAGTTTGGGGGGGAAAGGGAAGGGAAATAGCTAATCTATTATTGAGCTGTAAGAATACTTTATATATCTTAGGTACAATTCCTCTGTTAGATACAAATATTGTGAATTTTTTTTTTTCCAATCTGGGGCTTGCCTTTTTTGTTTTCTTAATGGTGTTTTTTGAAGAGCAAATTTTATAATTTTAAGTCTAATTTATCAATATATTATTTTATTTTTTATTTTTATTTGTTTAAAGTAGGCTCCACACCCAGCGTGGAGCTCAACCTGGAGTTTGAACTCACGACCCTGAGATCAAGACCTGAGGGGAGATCAAGAGTTGGATGCTTGACCTACTGAGTGATCCAGGTGCCCCCCAATTTATCAATATTTAAATGGTTCATGATTTTTATGTCTTATTTTGGAAATTTTTACTTATCTCAAGATCACAAAGATTTTCTCTTATGCTTTTTACTGGAAATTTTTATTGTTTTAGCTTTTTACATTTAAGGCTGTGATCCATTTCAAATTAAATTTTGTTTTGCTGTGAGATAAAGATTCATCTTTCTTTTTCCCTCCCTCCCTGTCTCCCTTTCCCTTCCCCTCCCTCCCCCTTTCCTTCCTTCCTTCTTTCCTTCCTTCCTTCCTTCCTTCCTTCCTTCCTTCCTTCCTTCCTTCCTTTGCATATGAATGTCCAATCATTCCAGAACCATTTGTTGACAAGACTATCCTTTCCTCATTGAGTTACCTTGGCATCTTTGTTGAAAATCAATTGACCATGTAAGTGTGGATCTAATTCTGGGTGCTTTATTCTTTCCCATTGATCTATATGTCTATTCTTATGCCAGTACTACACGGTCTTGAATCTTCAGCTTTAGAGTAAATCTTCAATCAGGTAATGTAATCTTCCAGGACAGTTTTTCTCTTTTAAAATTGTTTGAATAAAAAAAAAAAAATTTGTTTGACTATCCATTTTCATATAAACTTTGGAATTATTTTATTATTATTATTATTTTTTAAAGGGCCTGCTGGAATTTTCAAACGGATTGCCTTTAATCTATAGTTCAATTTGGGGAGAATTGACATCTCAACAATATTGAGTTTCTCAATACACAAACATGATATATCTATCATCTATTTAGGTCTTCTTTACTTTCTTTCAGCAATGTTTTCTAGTTTTAAGAATACAGATTTTGGGGCGCCTGGGTGGCTCAGTTGGTTGGGCGACTGCCTTCGGCTCAGGTCATGATCCTGGAGTCCCAGGATCGAGTCCCGCATCGGGCTCCCTGCTCGGCGGGGAGTCTGCTTCTCCCCCTGACCCTCCCCCCTCTCATGCTCTCTCTCTCTCATTCTCTCTGTCACAAATAAATAAATAAAATCTTTAAAAAAAAAAAAGAATACAGATTTTGTACAATTTTCACTAAATTTATTCTTAAGTATTTTTTATGCTATTATAAATGGAGCTTTAAAAAATTGTTGCTGGTATTAGAAATAAAATAGCTTTTGTTCAGTTTTGGTAGTTTGTGTCTCTAAAGGAATTTGTCCATTTCATTTAAGTTGTCAAATTTCTTGGCATGAAATTATCATAATATTATCTTATTATTCTTTTAATATCTGTAAAATTTATAGTCACCATCCTTCTTTCATCTCTAATATTGATGATTTGTGACTTTTCCCATTTTTTTTTTATCAGTTTAGCTAGATGGTTTCAATTGTATTAATCTTTTCAAAGAAACAGCTTTTGGTTTTATTGACTTTCTTTACTGCTTTTATGGTTTCCATCCCTTTGTTATCTCTATTATTTCCTTTCTTATTTTCTAATATAAGCAGTCAGAACTATAAATTTCCCTTTAGGTGCTAACTTAGTGTACACTGCAAATTTTGATATGATTTTTTGCCAATTTTTATCCAGTTCAAAATATTTTCTAATTTTGCTTATTTGTTCTTTGACCCATGGGTTATTTACTGGTGTATGATTCATTTCTAAGTATTTTGAGATTTTCCAAGTATCTATCTACTATTGATTTCTAATTTAATTCAATTGTAATTGGGGCACACACTCTATAGGATTCAATCATTTTAAATTTGTTGAGACTTATTTATAGTAGGGTGTGGTTTATTTCAGTGATTGTTCCATATGCAATGAAAAGAATATGCATTCTGCTATTGTTCAGTGAAATGTTTTATAAATGTCACTTAGGTAAAATTGATCCATATTTTTCAAATCTATAACCTTACGATATTTTTTTTGTTCTACTTGTTTTACCAGTTACTGAGAGAATGTTAAAGTAGCCAACTATAATTGTGAATTTGTTAATTTATTTCTTTAGTTCTGTCACTTTTTTGCCTCATCTATTTTGGTCCACAAATATTTAGGATTGCTGTGTTCTTTTGATGAACTGATCCTTTTAATAAAAAATGTGCATCTTTATTATTGGCCACATTCCTCGTTTTAAAGTTTACTTAATCTGATGTTAATATACCTCCTCTAGCTTCTTATTAGTAGCATTTCATGTTATATTTTTCTCACTCTTTTCGTTTTAACCTGTGTCTTTATACTTAAAGCACATTTCTTGTAAATAGTATATGGTTGGGTCTTGCTTTTTTGTTTAATCTAAAAATCTCTTCTCTTTAATTGATATGTATAACATTTATATTTAATGTAATTATTTTTATTGCTGGGTTTAATTCTACCTTCTTGCTATTTGTTATCTATTTGTCCAACCCGTTTTTTATTCCTTTCTTCTTTTCTTGTCTTCTTTAGGATTGAGTGTTTTTTTGTTTTGTTTTTTTGTTTTTTTTCACTTTATCTCTACTATTGGTTTACTAGCTATTACTCTTTATTGTACTTTTTGCTTGAGGATTAGAGAAGGCTTCCTTAACTCATCATATACCAGTATGAATTAATAACATGCCTCTTCACATATAATGCAAGAATCTTTCTATATGTTCTATTTATCACCGCTTCTCTATTATTATATATTTTACATCTATAAATTTTATAAATCCTATAATACATTGCTATTATTTTTTTACTTTAAATAGTTATCTTTTAAAGAAATTAAGAAACTATATCCTCATTCTTTTTTTTAGTTTTAAAATTTTTTATTGTTATGTTAATCACCATACATTACATCATTAGTTTTTTATGTAGTGTTCCATGATTCATTATTTGCATATAACACCCAGTGCTCCATGCAGAACGTGCCCTCTTTAATACCCATCATCAGGCTAACCCATTCTCCCAACCCCCTCCCCTCTAGAACCTTCAGTTTGTTTTTCAGAGTCCATTGTCTCTCATGGTTCATCTCCCCCTCCGATTCCCCCCCTTCATTCTTCCCCTCCTGCTATCTTCTTCTTCTTCTTCTTTTTTTCTTAACATATAATGTATTACTTGTTTCAGAGGTACAGATCTGTGATTCAACAGTCTTGCACACTTCACAGTGCTCACCATAGCACATACCCTCCCCAGTGTCTATCACCCAGCCATCCCATCCCTCCCACCCCAACCCCCACTCCAGCAACCCTCAGTTTGTTTCCTGAGATTAAGAATTCCTCATATCAGTGAGGTCATACGATACATGTCTTTCTCTGATTGACTTATTTCACTCAGCATAACACCCTCCAGTTCCATCCATGTCATTGCAAATGGCAAGATCTCATTCCTTTTGATGGCTGCATTGTACTATATCCTCATTCTTAAACAAATTAGCTCATGACTAGTTGAACACCATGAGTTGATTTGCTTAAGTCTGATTAACTGAATTAATCACTGTCCAAGGCAGATGGATTTATCTTTAGACCACTCAGGCCTACAAAACACTAACCTGGACACACTTTTCCTGAAGAACATGGGGTTTTTAGAGAAGAAATAGAAACATGAAGAAACAAATTTTGTTCTGTTTTAAAGGGGAAAGGAAGTAATTGGTGTGGTCTAAGTAACCAGCAATGGCCACTGGCTCAAGTTATTTCCTTAATGATTTTTAATGGGTCTGGCTCCACTACTTTAAGTGGCTGTCATCCACTAGAAACTTGCATAGACACACTCTAATAAAGACCAGTTCTGTATGATTTGATTGATTAGGTTTCATTGGTATGGTTTAATATCATTATTGTGTAACACTCATGCCAATGCATTGGTATATGAATTGCAATTAATTTATGGAATGGTGGGTATAATTCCTCTGTTTTGTGTAACACCCCTGGGAATCTAAGACATATAGGACAAGTATCTTACCATGAAGTTTATCAAGAAGATTGATTAACGGAAAATACTCAAATGGAACTTTTGAAAATCAATTAATGTAATCTAGCACATCATTAGGCTAAAAAAGAAAAATCACATGATTATATAAAAATGCAGAAAAATATTTGATAAAACCCATCACCTATTCATATAAAAACTCTCAGTAAACTAGAAATAGAGAGGAACTTCCTTAACTTAATAAAGACTATTTAAAAAACCTACAGCTAATATCACACTTAATCGTGAGTAACTCAAAGCTTTCCCGCTAAGATCAGATACTAGGCAAGGATGTCTCTTTCACCGTTCCTTTTCACATCATATTGGAAGCTCTAGCTAATGCAAGAAAAGGAAACAAAAGGTATCTAGATTGGGAAATAAGAAATAAAATTATCCTTGTTGATCAGCTATGTAGAAAATCCAAAAGAATTGACAACCCACCCTCTCAAACTAACTCTCCTGGTATTAATAAGTGATCATAGCAAGGTTGCAGGATATAAGGTTAATACACAAAAACCAATCATTTTGGGGCACCTGGGTGGCTCAGTCGTTAAGCAACTACCTTCAGCTCAGGTCATGGTCCCAGGGTCCTGGGATCGAGTCCCACATTGGGCTCCCTGCTCCACGGGAAGCCTGCTTCTCCCTCTCCCACTCCCCCTTGCTTGTGTTTCCTCTCTCACTGTGTCTCTCTCTGTCAAATAAATAAATAAAATCTTTAAAAAAAATCATTTTTGCTATTTACCAACAATGAACAAGTAGAATTTGAAATTAGAAACACAATACCATTTACATTAGCACCCCCCCAAAAATGAAATATTCAACTATAAATATGACAAATATGTGCAAGATCTATGTGAGGAAACCTATAAGGCTGATGAACAAAATCAAAGAAAAATAAATGAAAGCTATTCCATGATCATGGATAGGAATATTCAATATTGTCAAGATGTCAATTTTTCTCAGCAAGTTATTTTGTGGATATTGACAAACTGATTCTCAAGTTTGTATGGAGAGGCAAAAGACCCAGAATGGTCAACACAATATTAAAGAAGAACAAAGTTGGAGGCTGACACTACTTGACTTTAAGACTTCCTGTAAAGCTACACTACTCAAGACAGTGGTATTGATGAAAGAATAGACAAATAGATCAGTGGGACAGAATAGAGAGCCCAGAAATAGACCCACTCTTCAACAGATGGTATTGAACAACTGGTCATCTACATGCAAAAACAAAACAAAGCAAAACAATAAATGTAAACACAGACCTTACAACTTTTACAAAAATTAACTCAAAATGACCACAGACATAAATGTAAAATGCAAAACTATAAAATTCCTAGAAGGTAACATAGGAGAAAACCTAGATAGCCTTGGGTATGGTAATGACTTTTTAGATACAGCACGAAAGATATGATCCATGGAAGAAAGAACTGATGAGCTGGTCTTCATCAAAATTAACAACTTCTGCTCTGTGAAAGACAATGTCAAGAGAATGGGAAGACAAGCCACAGGCTGGGAGAAAATGATTGCAAAAGACATATTGATTTAAAAAAGGCTGTTATCTAAAAACATACAAAGAGCTCTTAAAACTCAACAATAAGAAAACAAACAACCTAATTAAAAAATGGGCCAATGACCTTAACAGATACATCACTAAAGAAGATACAGATGGCAAATAAGCATATGAAAAGGTGCTCCACATTATATGTCATCAGGGAAATGCAAATTAAAACAACATTGAGAAACCACTACATATCTATTAGCATGGGCAAGATCCAGAAAACTGACTATATCAAATGCTTGAGAGGATTTATGGAGCAACAGGAACTCATTCATTTCTGGGGGCAATGTAAAATGGTATAGCCACTTTGGAAAACAATTTGGCAGTTTCTTACAAAACCGAATATACTCTTACTATACCATCTTTGGTATTTACCCAAAGCAATTGAAAACTTATGTCCACACAAAAGAATGCACGTGGATGTTTATAGCAGCTTTATTCATAATTGCTAAAATTTGGAAGCAATCAAGATGTCCTTCCATAGGTAAATGGATAAATAAATAGAAGTGTACACCTAGATAGTGGAATATTATTCAGCACTAAAAATAAATAAGCTATCAAGCCATGAAAAGACATGGAGGAAACTTAAATGCATTTTACTAAGTGAAAGGAGCCAATTTGAATAGGCTACCACTATATAATCCCAACTATATAATATTCTGGAAAAAGCAAAACTATGGAGACAATAAAAAGATCAGTGGTTGCCAGGAGTTGGGGGGGAAGGATGAATAGGCAGACTACAGAGGATTTTTAGGGCAGTGAAAATACTCTGTATAATACCATATTGATGTATATATGTCATTATACATTTGTCCAAACCCACTGAATGTATGCTAGCAAGAGACCCTAATGTAAACTATGGACTGTGAAAGATTATGATGTGTCAATGTATGTTCACCAGTTGTAACAACTGTACCACTCTGGTGGAGAATGTTGGTAATCTAGGAGGTTATGCATGAATCAGAGTAGGGCTATATGGGAAATCTCTGTACCTTCCCCTCAATTTTGCTATGAACCTAAAACTGCTCTAAAAAAATAAAGTCTTGATGAAAAAAATGGAATTCTCTTTCTTTCTTTGTTTCTTTCTCTTCTTCTTCTCCTCTCCTCTTCTCTTCTTTCTCCTCTCCTCTTCTCTTCTTCTCTTCTCTTCTCTTCTCTTCTCTTCTCTTCTCTTCTCTTCTCTTCTCTTCTCTTCTCTCTCTTCCCTTCCCTTCCCTTCCCTTCCCTTCCCTTCCCTTCCCTTCTCTCTCTTCTCTTCTCTTCTCCTTTCTTCTCTTTCCTCTTCTCTCCTCTCCTTTCCTCTCTTCCCCTCTCTTCTACCCTCCCCTCCTCCTCTCCTCTCCTCTCCTCTCCCCCTCCCCTCCCCTCCTCTTCCCTTCCCTCTCCTCCCCCTTCCCTTCTCCCTTCTTCCTCTTCTCTCCTCTCCTTTCCTCTCTTCCCCTCTCTTCTACCCTCCCCTCCTCCTCTCCTCTCCTCTCCCCCCTCCCCTCCTCTCCCCTTCCCTTCCCTCCCCTCCCCTCCTCTCCTCTCCTCTTCTTCTTCTGACTGATGTCCCCAAAAGCCAAAAGCAAAACAAATGAAAAATGTTCCATTCCAAAATGAGATGTTATATTCCTCAAAGTTTGCAAATGAGGTGGTCAGACACTGGTAAATACAGTATTGAAAATGAGAAGGGTGAACTACCAGAGTCCTGAGGGCTGAGAGATGAAGCACGAGCAGCTGGCCAGAGGAGAAGATTGCCTGTGTCCTGAGAAGTTTAGATGTATATTCCCAGAGGGGAAATCTCTGAGGAACCTACAAAAGTGCCCCATGAGAGGCAGAAAGATCAAACCTGACATGAAAGGCTATTGTGACCCAGTATTAGCTCTCTGGGCTTTGGGTTGTTTCATCAAATGGAGAACCATTAGTTCAAGTCAATGAATGGAGAACCAGGGAGCTCTTTCATTTAACATGTTCTTTTCATTTAAGGATTCTCCTGCCACTGTTGTTTAAATCTTCTCTGGGTTTTGTTTACTTTTAATGTCTTAGTCTGTGGCAAATATTTTCCTCCCTAATGGCCATATTCTTCTCACGTGAAATTTATTCTCAGAAGACAGCTAGCAAAATCCATTCAGCATTTCTCCTGGTTATTAGTTTTATTTTGAATGAGTGGATGTTATTTTAAGCCATCTTTCCCCACATATGTTGTATCAAAGAGATATTTAAAATGTCTCTTATTAACAAGTGCTCATAAATAGAGGGTTTAAATGTCTCTCCCAAATATCCGTTTGTTATGTGCATTCTGATAATCCCATCATGTTCATTTTCACTTCTCTCAATAGGGAATTGGAAACTTAACTATGTTTCAGGTAAGGTCAAGTTTGCTCTTTGGAGTGATTAGGGAGTTCTGTGACTTGGATGTCTAGGATGGGAAGGTGTGAAGCAGAACTGGTATGCAGCCAGAACACATTGATACCAGTTATAAAGTATTAAAATACCTCCATACTTGGTTGGTAATAAAGAGGCATTGCCCCAAGACCCCCATCGCCTGGCACCTTGGTTCCCCTGGACTTCTCCAGCAACAAAATGGTTATGCCTGGCAAGCCTGGGGTCCCTGTTTGACTGGTGGTGCCTGGCACAGTATTGTCTGTTCAATATTATGAATGCCACCACTTGGTGAAAGGAATGGAAAGGAATTATTACTTGATTGGCATTCCTAAGGGAATCCTGGAAAACTGGACATAATAATCATAGGGGTTAACATCTATTGATAACTGTTCTAAAGGTTTTATACATATTAACTCATTCAACACCCTCAACAATCCTATGCTATAACTATTATTATTACCCGCATTTTACAGATGAGGAACTGAGGCCTAGGTTAGGCTAGGTTAGGTTATTTGCCCAAGGTCACACAACTAATAAGTGGAGGAATTTAGAATTTGAACTCAGGCTGACCCCAGAACCAGTGTTTTTTTTTTTTTTTTTAAGTCTCCTCATGGCTCTGACCTTCTGTGAGTCTCTAAGCAATAAACATTTATTGGGCTTCTGCCATGTAAAGTACCGTGGGTGAAATAAAGCAAAATAATACCTAAATCTTATCTTTTCATAGTTGACCATCTAGCAAATTTGGTCATACTCCTCCTCTCCTGATCTGGACAACACAAGTCCTGCATAATCCCTTTTCATGTCAGAGAGATCATGTGATGAACAAATTCCAGAGGAAATACTGGGTGTATAGGACTCTTATTAAATGGTGTTCACTGAAGATCAGAAAGGTAATATTTTCAAAGGTTGCTTTTTGGGACACAGGAAATAGTTTTTTAATGTAGACATTTTTGCCTTTCACATTGAGATGGAAGTTTGTGGTACTGTTTTTCATAAATATGAATTTAGAATAGGGTAGATCCAACTTCATCCAACCAAATGGATCTGAATATAAAACATTTTCACCTGCACAGCTATTGCAACACTCAGAATTTTAGGATGAGATACATGTGTCTGTTTTCAGAAAAAATTATGTATAGATAGATAGATAACAACATAAAGCATATTTAAGGTAAATGTGATGGGATCCTATGTTAAATTTTCTAATTAAATTAAATTTTTAAATTTAAATGGGATCCTATATTAATGCATGGGATTTGATAAAAAGGCAGTGTCCCTTAAAAGCAAATTCTGTTTTATCATATATTCAGTTATGTTGCCGTGACAATAATTAGTGTGATATGTTATGAAAGGCATTCATACAAAGACAGAATGCATGAAACAGACTCCAAACACATATTACCGGCAAAAGTTTTTGTTATAAATTGAAGTGATATTTTCATGACACTTGAGAAATGGAGACCAGGAAGCCAGAAATCAAATAATCTACTCTTTTCTTTGAGATAAGAACTCACTATTCATGTTTACTTCTGCAGGGTGATTCAACTGGCTGGCCCTGATGTACTTAGGGAAACCTCACTTAGCCTCTTCTAGACCATCACACCTTCTACCTTTCAGTGCAACTTCCCTATTTTTTCTAAGGGAAAAAGTATAAATAAAATAATATTTTAAATAGAAGATTTAGAAAGTAAGACAATCAGATGGTTTATGTATATTCAACAACATTTGGGAACAGGATATCATGGGCTCTGGAACCTGGTTTCAAGCCTTGGATTCATTCTTACTAACAGTTAATTAGTCACTCTGTGACTCAGTTTCCCTAACTGTCAAATGGTCAATAGTATTTATTTGTTAGTCTTAATATTGGTTGACTATATATGTTATTATATATAAATATATAAGACTCTATATATGTGCTTAAATATATTAAAAATGAATATGTATGCATATATGTAATTAATTATAGTATATGTAAATAATTGTACCATTGTTACAAATTTGCCAAATTTTATAGAATGTGCTATAAACATTGATTTAAAGTCTGAAAACATGAACTTGATGTATCTGTTTCTTTGACATCTTATGTTATTGGGTTTTTGTTTTTGTTTTGTTTCAGAAAAATACTTTGGGGATTTTACATTTCCATTTAAAAACCTCAGATTTAACTATGAAGGGTTAAATACTTTATATAATTTAATTTTTTTTAATTTTGGAATTTTGAAAAACAAAGATTGTTATTTCATTTTATCTATATATTTTTTTTGGGTATAGCAAATTAAAGCCTGGATCCAAGGGGGTCATTATTGTTATAGCAAAAGGATCTAATATGTAGCTATAATTCTCCATCACTGTAATTTTCTTTAAAGGTTATGTTTTGGGTGTAAAATATTTGCTATGCCGTTAATTTTTTAAATCTCTGTTGGATCAGGCTTACCACTAAAAATCTGATGAAAATTATGGATCCTCTCCCTATCCCAGAAAAAAAAATGTGCATACACACCCAATTTTGAATGTAATTCTTAGGGAACTCATGAACCCCATGAAGCCCACTCATGGACCCTTTCCTCAACCATCCAGTTCCAGGAAGAACTTCATTTGTTTGTGCCTCAACAGAACAGACATTACAGTTCTGACAGAGTTCTAAGGCCTGGCCAAAGTGAATTGTAAAATAGTTTCATGTAATAGTCTTTCCTGTGTGAGGAAGATGATTGAGATCTATAGAATAAAACCTATAACTCAGGTCTCCTAAGGTCTTCCCAATCACCCTTCCCCCACAGGCAAACATTTTTTTTTTCTCTCACACTAATTGGTTCAACTAATATTTGTCAAATACCTAATATGGGCCAAATAATGGGCTAGGTGTTGTGATACACTGAAATATGACATGATTCCTGCCTCCCAGTGGGGAGATGGATGGACACATAGACAAACTCTCATATGATGTAATAATGCTATAATAAGTAATATACAAGTGTATTAAGCTTTGATCAGTCAATAGAAGCAATATTTTAAAATGTCCAATTTGTTAAATCTTTGATAATGGACCAAATTCTAAGTCAAGTTGATCGTGGGCAAATGAAAACTAAATTACTTTTCACATTAATAGTTTAAAGAATGAGTATTTGCAGAGTAGTTACTAAACTCCAGAATTAAAATGTTATTAAAAATGTTAATCACAGAGAGTCAGTCTCTTCCATTGTCAAATCAATATAATCACATTCAGGCAGTTAGTAGTAAATCAAATAGTTCTAGTTCAGAGCATGCTGAAAAGAGGAAAACTAGTTTTCCTCAGTCTATCATCTGAAAAAAGGCATTTTCCTGGAAAGATTTAGAACACAGCTTTCATCAAGGTTATAGCAGTTCATATTTTACTCCTGAAAACACAGGAAATGAATAAAACATCAGAAAATTTGAATGACAAGCTTGTCTTTAAGAAATTTTACTGGCGACAACACAAATCCTGAACCTCATCTTTCAAATGTCATTTCCTTGGTGAAGTCATCTGTGAATCCTGCAACGACAGAACTGCGTGCTCCTGGCGGCCAGGTTTCTTTAATAGCCATGACAGTATCATAATTCTTTGTTGGCCTTTGTTCCCCTCAAGAATGTGAGGTAGGGAGACCACCCCTTTCTGTTGCAGAGCAGGAGACAGGAGGCTTCTTAAAGATCTCAGTGTCACCTGACAGCACAGGGGTCTTAGTAAATCTAAGGTGTATTTGTCCATCAATTCCTCAACCAAGAGGCCCGGTATTTTCAATCTTAATTTTATTGAGGACACTGAATATCTCAAGGACTTGGAGTGGTATTGTTTGGGCAGAGGTTCAGATGGCCTTAAGAGAGGTTAATTAATTAGACACTACATTTTAGTTCTTGCTAATTAGAAAGAGCTGCCAAAAAGAATTAAAGTGCAATTTGTAATTCATTTTGATTGTCCTTTTTCATGACCCTACCTGAGCTAAAATGTGGAAGTAAAAGGGAGAGGAAAGCTGGAAGTCAGAAGACAACTTGCACATGGCCTTGGGTACCAGCAGTGGCACAGAGAAGGACCAGAGTTGGGACAGGCTGACATCAGCGCCCAGCCTTGGGTGCTAAAGAGATGGGGGGTGGGAATAGGGAGGCTGCTGAGGTCGGGGCGGGGGCTTGGGGTGCACTAGGGGAGACAGGCCTGCTCTGAAGCCCACCTTCGGGCTACACTGGTCTCCTCATCCTGGATCTGGGGCAGGTTTCCACATGCTCTAGACTTGGAGGTGGCAGTTCAGTGTGGGGTCAGGTGGAGTGAGAGGTTTGAAGAGACCTAAGGGGAGAAAGCGTGTGGGGCTCTCAGGAGGCAAGTTCAAGGCAGGAGCAGTGTCCAAGACAGCCTCAGAGCGCCTCAGGGATTATACCGTCTGCATTCCACCTAACCCCAGCTGTCCTCCTATGAGGTGGGCATGGCAGTAATAACGGTTACCCTCACGGTTGGGGAAAATGAAGGCTCAGAGAGGGTGTCTAAGGGTCACACTCTGGTGGTTGGTTGACCTAGCCAGCATAACCTGTCAGATCCATGCGCTCTCACTCCCCAGGGCAGGCCTCGCCCTTTTCCCCCCGGTGTGGCTCCACCTGTTACAAAGGTGGAGGAAGTGTGGGCACCGATATTTCATTCCTGAGCCTCCACCACGGGTCACCTGCTGCCGCCTCGCTGCCCTCCCAGAAGAGAAGGAGAGCGGGGAGGGGCACGAGAGTCGCCAGTGCAAAAAGATGACGGGCTGGGTTAGGCCACGGGCGCCCAGGGGCTTGCGGCCAGAGCAGGAGTGCGCGGGAAGCTTCCTAAAGAAACTCCCAGTCTTGCGTTCGCTAGATTTCTCTGCCCTCTCTGTGCCTCCACCCGAGTTGGCCCAACCCCAAACGCAGTTAATAGCCTTGACGACATCGCCATCCAATTTGTGGGACCCTGGTGGTTTTCAAGGCCGTGATTCCCTCGGGGACTAGGCCAGTGGAAGCCCCGGGTGGGGGGGGGGCGCACTCATGGGCTTGTGAATTTACTCTTGGGACTTGCAAAACTCCAGTACTCTTGACCCCAAGGGTGTCGTTGGGCGGCCTCTTCTTTTTTCCTGTTCTCCCCACTCTTTACCAATTTACTCTTGGGAATGGCAAAGCTCCGTGTGCTCTTGACCCGGAGGGGTCTTTGGGCGGCCTCCCTCTTTTTCCGGTTCTCCCCTTTCCCCTTCCCCTGGGACCCACTGGCTTCCCACGTCTCTTTCTCCTCCCACTTGCCCCTGAGCTGATTCCAAAAGGAGAACCCGCACAATAGGATGGGTGGACTTCAGGTAGGGAGAGCTGGGAGGGGCTCGGGCATTCAGTCATTCAACAAATACGCGTTCTTGCTCTAATTGAAGCCCGGGTAGTCAGTGTGGAATAGGACACTAGTCACAGCCTCGTGGGGTGACAAATGCACCAATAAAGGTGACAGGATGATGTGCTGGGACAGGTCTGGGCTGTTGGGTCAGAAGTCTGTACTTAGTGGTCAAGGACTTCATTAATAAAAATCCATAGGACACAGCTGCCATTCTCTCCTGGGCTTTGGTCTCGGAGGCAAACCCTTCTGAGACTGTCCCCTAGGCTGGGAATCGCACCCAAGAGTCATAGGCCCAGCCGGTGCCACCCCCTGCGTCCCAAGACGTGTTCTCCAGTGGAACTTCCCTAGGAAAAGAGCTGAAGGCTCGAGGTCCGAGAGGCTGTGGCGCGCTCGGGACTCCCCGACCCCACGTTTGCCCGCGTCACCCTACCGCCCCCAGCCGGAGGGGCACGCTGCTTGCAGCGGACCCAGTCGGGTCCTGCCCGACGTCCGCCCGTAGGGGCCGCATCCGCCGCGCGCCCGGCACCTCCCACGGCTTGCTTCGCTCCTCCTCTCTCCTGGTCGCCAGTCTTCCGCTGCAGGTTCAATCCCCGCAGGCACCCGGAGCGCGGGGACCCGAAGCGTGGCTGACCGTCTGCGCCCTCGGCCCCCGCGCCCTTGCAACCGAGACCCGGCCGGGAGCACCTGCGAGCCGCGGGCACCTCTCCGGGGCGACCGCGGCGGGCTGACTGGGCATGCTCAGGAGCGGGGCGGCCGGGCGCCGCGGGAGCCGAGCGCATGCACTTGCGGGGCAAGGGGCCGGCCGTCCAGGGGCGCGGCGCGCAGGCGGCCGCTCTGGCCGACGCCCTGGCCAGCCTGGGCAGGACGCGAGCCAGGATGGCCTCCCTCACGGCATACGGTAACGGCGGGCGGTCGCGGGCTCTCGGGGCGGCTGGGGCGGGCGGGGCCGGGAAGCCGTCCGAGCACCCCGGGGAACTTCGGGGTTCGGCTCCCGGGAGGGTGAGGACGGAAGGGAGGGGGCAGCAGCGCGCGCTGGCCTGGGGGTGGAGTGGGGTGGGGTGGCGAGGCTCTGCGGGGTTGGAGTTGCCTTGAATCTGGGAAGGGGGTATTCGCAGAAGGAGTTGATGGAGTGAAAACGCCTAAAATTGAGGTGTCTGGGAGCTTTGGGTCTCCAGAAAAATTCCACCCACTTCAGACCACAGAAGGGAGGGGATAAGGGTGTTAAGTTCGTTTCTAGCGGTGTGAGGCTTGGAGTTAGGAGGTTCTGCGTTCAGTCAGCGCTTATCCTGTCCCTGACTGACCTTGGGCAAGTTATTTAAACTTTTTTGTTTTTGTATTTCTCCATCTGTAAATCAGAGATGAGTACATCTCTCTGACAGATGCTATGGGGTTAAAATAATATGCCCCAAAATATGTTTTTAATGCAAAAAAAAATTAGCTTGGAAATAAAAGTTCCATGGAAATGGAAGGCATTATTCTCCCCCCCCCCCAATTTTGGCTAAAGAAATATATTTTTTTATTATTTCTTTAAAGGCATTGCAGAATTCTAAGGAAAGCAAAATCACAGTA